TACACAACAACACACAGTACAGATACACAACAACACAGTGCAGATACACAACAACACAGTGCAGATACACAACACACAATGCAGATACACAACAACACAACACAGTGCAGATACACAACAACACAACACACAGTGCAGTTACACAACAGAGCAACACACAGTGCAGTTACACAACAGAGCAACACACAGTGCAGTTACACAACAACACACTGCAGATACACAACAAGGTTCCACTTAAATTCTTGTCTCTTAAAACAGCCCTGCTGCTGGTTTAACATCCGCTAAGAGAGTGAGTGATTTATCTGCCCTCTCTGTCGCTCCGTCATGTCTCAGAATTCAGGCTGACGGCAGCTCAGCTGATTTTAGACCAACCCAGCTTTTATGCCTAAAACATCACGAGCTCTTTTAATCAAGAGCGATATTGTTGGAGGGGTCGTCCCCCCCCCTTTCACACAGATCAGAAAAAGTAGTGTCTTTTTATCTCCTCTGTCCTGTGCGGGCGTTGACGTGTTACATAGCGTGCACAGCTGCAATGCGTCAACATCTGTTTGTGCATTATAGAGATGCATCTGCAGGTCGCCCGTTATCCACCCAGCGCTTGTCACACTGGCTGTGTGAGGCCATTTCTGAAGCCTACAGAGCATCAGATCTAGAGCCTCCTGTCAACCTCAAAGCACACTCGACCAGGGGTATCGCACCTTCAACTGCTTTGCATAATGGTATGTCAATGTAGGACATTTTAAACTGCGGCCGCGTGGTCAACACCCTGCTCATTTATTCACTTTTATCTACGTGATGTCACGGCCCGTTCCATGACACATTCTGTCTTTAGTGTTTTAACAGAATGAATATTGTTGTTTCATGGAACTCCGTTTAACTCACATCTGTCTGCATGCATTACAGTGTGAGATGTTGTTATCAGTCACAAGTTGTGACTGTTATTTTGGTTCTATTGTCACTAATCAGTTCACAACTATTGTTACCAATCAGTTCATTTGATTAATAATCAGCTCTCCTGTTATTATTAATCTGTTCATACGGTTCAGCCATAAACCGGTTGGTTCATGGCTCTTTTCAGCGTTTTTCCTTCCCCGTTGAAGTTTTCCGGGGCGTTCATGCATTCAGAATGCATAGTTACACAACATGCGTCTGTGCATGGCACACATAATTACGCAATGCGTAATTACGCACATGGGAGCTGAGTGATTAGATTTTTTTGAGGCAAGCTTCTGCTTCATACGGTGTTCGAATGGACCCAGTGAGGCGAGGACAACATCCGCTTCGCCCTTAACCCACCAGCGACAGCCTTAAAGGGCAAAGCCTACACGAAATAGAACGTTGGTTACGTACTGTAACCCCAGATTCTATGAGTATAGGCGTAGCCCTTTAAGCGTCGGGCCTCACTGGCTCCTAAATGGCTGAAGAAAAAGCTATTTTTGGGAGCCGATTTCCCGCTCTTAACATAACTTATACGGACCGGGTGGGGCCCACACAGCAGGTGGGCGTGGACTAAATTTTTCAGTGCAAATGCTCCGCATAACGGGATAAACCCACTAAGCGACAGCTCTTAAAGGGCTACGCCTATACTCATAGAATCTGGGGTTACAGTACGTAACCAACGTCTTTCATCCGAGACTTCCTCAGTCTGAGGTGGTGTTTTCAGCTCAGTCTCTTAAATAGCACCTTCTCAGAGTGGATCAACCAGTTTGCTGCTGACAATCAAAACCAACTGCTCACATGATCAAGAAGGACCATCAGCCTAACAATTTTTCCTCGTCCTCTACAATGGCAGTGGGTAAATTCTGCAGCAGCTTGTTGTTGCTGATGATCATGTGGCTGCAGTACGGACTCGTTCTTCCACCTGCTGCTGTCCAGCTTTGCAGCAGCTACGCCAACATCTCCACTCCTCTCTGCACTGACATCATGGACAGTCGGACCGCTGTGCCGATCCATCTGTGCTACACAAACCGGGTCGAAGCCAGACTCGAGGTGAACCAATCCTACCGACTTGTGTGCATCCAGTGCCCTGCGGGTCTGTGCTCTTTGTGCCCCCTGATGTGCATGGTTCTGGTGCAGACCTTCCATTCTGGACTTTCTGGATGGTCAAACCATGTTGGTGCATCTGAACTTTTTCATCCATGCCAACTTCTCTGCTACTGCGTTATAAATAAATAATGATAAAGAGGTGACAGGGCCTTCTCTGTAGCAGGACCAAGACTTTGGAACGAGTTACCTCTGCTTGTCAGATTGGCCCCCTCCCTCTCGGTTTTCAAGTCCCGTTTAAAAACTCACTACTATTCAATAGCTTTCAACACAAGATGATCTGTGTTTTGATCCTTTATGTTCCACACTGGTTTGTCATTATCTGCATCGTTTTTATGTCTATATTCTGATTTACCTCATTTTGTATTTTGCTTTGTGTGTTACCTGTTGTTTTGTCTGTACAGCACTTCGGTTGGCCTTGTTGCTGTTTTAAGTGCTCTATAAATAAAGTGGTATGGTATGGTATGGTAAATAACCACATCTTCATAAACACATCTCATCATAACATATTTATGAGGACCAAGATCTACAATATAAAGTCCAACAATTATACTACTGCCACAAAGAACTCTCAGAAATATCTGGTTGTAATATTTTATTGCCGGCTGGTATTCAACCCAGTCCTGGTCCTCTCACCTCAGGTAG